TCATTTGATAAATGTATTTCCTAGCCACAGAAAAATACTACTTGTTTGTGGATGATTTGCTTGTTAGGGCGAATATGTAAATGGACAACCAGCAATCATTTAGCCCAAATGACAGGATTCAATTAGAGAGTATCTGAGAGCTTATAAACTCTGGACATGGAACCACTCATCAATTCCTACCACCAACAGAGGTCTAAAATCCACCGGGGAGCTGCCCAACTCTAGACATGCTGCCTAAAAACTGAGATGAGAGATTTGCAAGCGATCTCTGTGCAAGCTGTGAATTGGAGCTTCTTGGAAACTCACTTTTTTTTTTTTTTTTTCAAAAACCATGAAAATACTTAAGARGCAAGTGGAAATACTGATATATAATATTTGCTATTGACTTCCTTTTTCCTACCTGTGTGTTTGCTATCATGCCTCAAAACAGGCAAAAGATGAAGGCTTTTGGTGCCCATGTCCTTGTTAAGCACCGCACAATGAAGAGCAGTGACATGGCACTGCTGACAGGCAGACTGAGCTTGCGTCCCCACGTCCAGGAAAGGCAGGAAAAAGGGTGTGCACCCCCAAAGCGTGAACCAAAACATTACCAAGGCTGAAAAGCAACACCTGGGTTTTGCTTGGACTGCTGGGGCTTGATTTTCCACTACTCACTATCTGAGAAAAACTCACAGTAACATTCTTATTCAGTGAGTAATCAGCACTTTAATCTCACAATTCCTATCCCCATCTGATGTCACTGAATATATTTACACTGCTACATAATTGCAAAAATAATAAATCTCTCTTTTGTAAATAAAGTATGAATATTAAAAATAGCTATTGCATCTTCTACCTAGAACTGTCTGTCCTTGGGAAAAGTGCAGGGTAATGAACACCCTACCTCTCCCCTCGACAAGAGCAGTGAATATTAACACCTCCCCACCCCCAAGCCAGCAGGCATCATGGCTTTTCTGACTGCACTTTTTTTTCCTCTCTCTTTTTTCCATCTCCCAAGTTCCCCTCAGTATATTCTGAGTCAATATATTTTTGCAACTGGGCATGTTGACTTACACCACACCCCAGCTGAATTATGTAACAATCTTTCTGATTAAAAAAAAAGGCAAATATGAGAGAACAAGGCTCCCTTTCAGAGCACACTGTGTTCGAGCAGCCTTCAGCCTCAACGTTCAAATCAGATGACACCTGCGACTCACACCCTGAACACTGCAGAATACCCTGTTCCCAGCAGTTGAATCTTTGATCCCTTGCAAAGACAAAGCAGGGCAAGTTTAATGGAGCTATATACAGACGTGCACCAAATCCAGAGCACAAAACCCCGCTTTGCTCCCAGTGCTCACGAGAAGGGCAAAGGGACCTCCCTGGAAGCAGGAGAGCTGGGCACGGGCACCCCACTGCTGTGATTCAACCTGAGCTTTAGTGCATTTTAAATGAAAAGTTTGGGTGTACCCTCCCCTTAAAGCCATTCAGAGTCTTTCTCAAGCAGTGATGAGGTAAACACACTGGAAGGAGGAGAGAAAGCTCCAGGCAAACCGCTGTGCTCTGATGTTATTCAGCTGATGATCATTCTGCAATACCAACTTTAAACAGCACTGAATGAAAAGAAAAATACACTCAAGATGCAGAAAGGGAAATAACAGGGAGAAAGGCGAAAAAGAAGAGGAAAAGTACATCATCTAGCAACTTAGCAGAGCGAAGGGCTCCTGGCACATAATATACTATAAATACCCAAAAGCTACTGGGACATTGACTATAAAATTCCTCACTCTTATAAATGGATAACAATTAAAATTTTAGGAACAATATTTGCATCTCTGAACTTTAAACTACCTTGAAATGGTCTTAAAGAGAGATTTTACAGTGTTCATGGGTAGGGCTGAGCCAGGGTCCTTGAACCCTCTACCTGTATTTGCAGTTTTCCTATGAAGATGCATTAAAGAATCAACCCATGCTATCATTAGGCATTTGGCATCTTGAGCAACAGTTGAAAAAAATGCTATCACACACCAGGTTGTTTCTGACACAAATGGTACAGTAGCAACTTGTTACTCCCAAGTCTCTGATATTCTCTATTCCCGTTCTTCGTATTTCACCACATTTTACCCTGGCAGCATTAACATAAACAGAAGTTGTAAAAGAAGCAAAACAGCCTCTTTGCTCGTGGCAAACAGCCACCTCCCAACCTGCCATTGCTCAGAGCTAGGACTTCACTTAAGGCCGGACTGCAACATTTTCAAATGAACTCGCTGAGTTTCTGAAAAGGACATTACAAAGCAAAAAAGAACCTGTAACCCCCGAGACACGCACACACACACACAAAGTCAACAGCAACTCAAAATGTTTCAGGAGGCTTATTAAATAAAATGTGACATTACAGCCCTACAAGCAACTTTAAAATGCTGATCAGGAATTATAAAGCTAAATTAGAAACTCCAATCTCATTTGCTATAAAACCAAACGGCTCTTTGTTCTCACAAAGGAAGTTGCTAAGATAATACAACGAATCACCCTGCTGCAGCCAGCTTTTGATGCTTAATCCTTCTAGATTTGTGTTAGCTAATTATACATTGCCGTGCAGTTGAGCATTTTATGAAAAAGTACATCATTAACATCTTATCCCGCAGCTTGATGAAGTCAGAACGCCTCTGAATTGCACTTCCCCTCCTATAATGGGCTCCTAGGTGAGAGCTGAAATACCACGACACATTTCAAGAAAAGCTGCTCAACTTAAATTCTTAAATGATTCTTAAATGAATAGATTGAAAGTTTAAACGCTGGGCACCAGTGATGATCCCGACTCAACTGGAGGAAAAGAAGCACGACTGTGGCTCGCTCACACACCATGAATGACACGGACACGCAGCATCTTCAGGTCTCACCTGTGCCTCTCCCTTTAGCCCTGCCTTGCAACATGACTCATCGTGGGACCAAAGAGGTTATACAAGTGCCACAGCACTGGACAAAAGCAGAGCTGCTCAAGCCAGGACTGCAAATTAAATTCAAGTTTGCAGGGGTTGCTGCTCAAAGGGGAGCAGCAGAGCTCTCAGAAAATAGCAGGGTGAAGCACAGATCAAACAGTCACATGAGGCTCTGGGCAGCCTGGGTGCAGCAGGGGTGAGTTAATTTACTGTAGCACTGATGCAGTACCTCAAACGGCGTCCGGTAGAGCACACACGACATTTGCAGCTGCGGCTCTTTTTCAAATTATCGGTTGTTCTGACAGGGAATTAGAAACATGGCAATTTCTACACAGAATATCAAAGTCAGTGAAACAAAACTTGGTTCTGAAATTTGGTATTTTGCACAAACTCTACTTTTTTGTTGTTTTATTTAGTCAGCGTCTCTCTTACCTTTGTGAACCAGTCAACCCTTGAGAATTGACCTTTCCGTCTCCTTCAGCAAGCGCCTCGTGTTTGCCTGTGAGGCAGAGCACAGAGCTAACCTGCTTGGCCTAATTGTCATCGTTGAAGTGAGAATTTTTCAAGCTGAGGTTTTCAAATAAGCATCTAAACCCCAGGACCCGAGCACAAGCGTCTCTTGCACCCTAATTACGGTGTTTTCTCAGCTTCTCACCCACCACAGGACACGCACCTTTTCTCACATGTAAGAGGATGGAAAATGCCTGTGACCGAGTGTGATATTGTTAGCAAGAGAATTTAATTGGGAAACATTTTTGCATCTCCTGTTAGGTGTAACTCCTGGTTATGTGATATGTTCACAGGTGACAGCAAAATTATGCCTTACATCTGTAGAGACGTGTAAATGCCTCATTAAGTTTAATGATTATCTGTTAAAAGGGTGGTTCCACAAGAAAAGCTTTGCTACTGAAAAATAGAAGTGATGCAAGAAAACAACCCTGTAGTTCTACCATCACTGACCTTGCTGAATTCCTTTCACCTGTCCAGATATTATTTTAACAAACTATTAAAGGTTTTATTATAAAAAAAGCATGAATTGGTTATACCACAAGAAGGGAAGCAGTCCACAAAATCCAACCCAGACTGCATTTTCAGAGTTGAGGTCAATCTGAACTTGTATGTTAACTCAACATATACACATACACACACACACACACCTCTCTGAGGGCTAGGGGAAAAGCAGGTGGTGGAAGAGGAAGCATATAGCCATGAAACACGACAATTTTTYCCCCCCCCTCAAAACTTCTGCTCAGTCAAAATCCACAGATGTCTTCAACAGATTGAAAGTCAATAGGATAGGAACCTGATTCAAGTATCATATATAGCAGGGAGAACAAAACAAAAATGGCAGCAGCAGCAGCAACATTTTCCTGGATGTGGCAGGAGAATAACTTAAGATATCTAACAATAAAAATACTCTCATGAAAACCTGTCCTGTCCCATTTACAATGACAGCAAGAGCTCAGTCTTCAGCTAAACAAGGTTTATACAAACGTGGAAAAACAAAACTTCATCAGCTCACGCTCACAGTGAGAAGATGCTTAGAGAAACAAATCAGATTATTCACACTAGCCAAACACACATTGACACATGCTATTAAACAAACAAAAAGTAACCAGTTTATTATATTTAACATATTTACATAATATTACAAATTTAAGTACTTCAACTCCATCATCACATGACAATAAAACCTCCAGACAGCAAAAGCAGCACATGAAAGAGACACTCCAGAATATGCAGGAAATCTTTGGTACTCAAGACACAGTGGCAGATGCAGCAGCACTCGCCCGCAGCGCCGAGCGGGGCTTCGCTGGGCTCCGTCCCTCCGCAAGGCTCAGCGCTGCGTTCGGGAATTGCTCGACAGCTTTAGGATGGTTCTCAAAACAACTGCAGCATTTCTTCTTTTGTACTCAATTAACCTGCTTCCTCTCAGACCTAGCAAAACATCAAACTCTTCACAGCCCTAAAGCCTAAGCCTCTAGCACTTAAGCAAGCAAAAGAGAGAATCAACTTTGCCTGCTGAAGGAGATGGAATCAGGCCCACCAAAGCCAATAAAGCTGTGGCATAGAGTGATCAGAGACAGCAYCCCCCAGGCCACACTGCTGTACAAACCCTTTACAAAAAGTGTTTTATGCATAATCTACATATTTACAAATGCTCTGAACTGTTCTATCAAGTAACATGCTCAACACAAGCAGAATTTACATCATTTTGAGGTAAACCCTGGAACCACTAGAGCAGCAGCAGGGCTTCATCTGCAAGGTGAAGTGGGTGTGGAAACAGCAGCACTAACTCGCACACACAAGCAGCAAGATGCCATGCGCAAGTGAGATGGGGAACAGCAAGAGACCACATGGGATAGGATCAATCTGCTTTCCTGGTTGGTCATGATCAAGGAATAAAACATTAGCCTGGAGAGAAAATGCAACTAGGAGCTTTTTAGTTTCTCACATGTTTAAGCAGTTTAAGCTGGGTTAGAAAAAAAACCTAAATATCAGAACCTGCACATCTGCAGTCATCACCTACAGATGGTTCTTTTAGCGAATAACCACAGTAGTTTTGACACTAGGCTTGTATGAGCACTCTGGYTCACCAAAGCAGGGAAACCACTTGATGAGCCCTGCTGATTTCAAGCCAGCTAATCTGGACACACATTTTAAACTGGGGATTTGGACTGCTGAGATTGCAGGGTCCTTGCCCTGCAATAAGAGCATTCACTCATTGCATTTCCACTGACGTGGAAGGAGAGTGGAAAATTCAGGACAAAACACGGCCAGTTGCCTTTGTGTTATCTTATAAGYGCACAAAAAGTGATAAAAACTCCCGTCTAACTAAGACAAGACAGCTGAGAATTGAAAACATCCAAAAGTTCACCCAAATCAACCAAGGACATAAAATAYGACATTCAGGTTTACACTTGAGCAGTGACACCCACCATCTTACCTATAGTATTGTCTGTAACTAAAAAAGAGAAGTCCTACTTTTTCTGAGACTGCCTTTTATTGTTTACTTCTTTAGACCCCACAGATCTAATACTTGCACAAGAACAAACAAAACTTTTCTCTTCTCTTGTCAAAACTGAACGCAGCTGTTAACTAAACTCTTATTGCAAAGTTCAGTCACACCAACATGCACAGCCCCTCTGTAGATGCATTAGTGCCCACTGCTACAGAACAGGGCTACAATATTTACTTAATGTTGGTGCTGCAGCTTTTAAAAACGCATCTTCTCATGAATATCCTCAGTTGCACTTTCATGGTCAGCTGCCCATATGGAAAAACAAACAAACAAAACCCAACAGACACACACAAAAGCTTCAGGATGACAAAGAACCCCACGATTGCACACTGCAGATGCTCCTTCAAGCACTACCACATCACTACACCTTTTTAAAATGCTGTCTTTAAACAAATTCTTACAAAATTTAGGCAGGACCTCAAAGAAGTTAGTTAACTACTTACATATGCATGAATGCTACTCTTATTTACTACATTTACATTTCCTTCAGAATGCTTTTGTGAGCGCCAAAGTGTTTGTAAGGTGATAAGTAAGGGAGCTTGATGTTTCAAGACAAGGCTACTGACGACACGTTACGCACACTGGAACGACTGCACTGTTTTCTGCATACAGTGATAAGCAGCAATAAGCCTTCATCTCCTTGCAGCATCGCAGGTGTTAGCTGCAAGAAAGAGGTTTATTCAACATTCAGCCATAGCTAGTATTTGCCGTGTACTAACAAGGTGAAATGAAAAGGGGCACAAAGAAATTTTGTTTTCCAGAGATCTTCTGGGAAGGCGAGGGCTGGGCTTTGTACCGATCCCCAGCGATGACGAACTGGCAGGTTGTTTCTTGCACGGCTCTGGGCAAGGCAATAACCTGTGAGCACAAACTTCGGTAGAAATCCCAACGTTAAGACTAGAAGATTCAAACAGACAAAAATGCTGCCGTTTAAATACTTAACAAGACCAATAATACTTTGCAGATATTAAATTCTACAATCCCTGAAATTGATGGTCAGTAGAGGAAAGTTTTTAACTCATTCATCCTCTTCAACATAAGTTGATGGAAACCAGCCCACCTAAAGACAGGGAAAGAGCAAAAGAAAATCATATGAGATGCACAGTTTTTCAAAGAGCCAACCTGGGTAAAACAAGGATGGGTCTGTTTAGTAAATGTAAGAGCAAGATTTAAAGATAAACTTGACTGATCTGGCACTGGTTAGGGCAATTACCCTTAATAGAAGAATAAATATAGATAGTCTGGGGAGACTAAAACCCCTCTTCTCCTTAGGAAAAATAAAAGTAAAAAAAAATCGTCATGCCCAAATCAGAAAGCTGGACATTCAGAAGAAAGGCAAGAAAAGTTAAGAGCGGGAATGTTGCACTGCAGGGGAAGGTAAATTTTCTGCAGGCTTCCATGAGTTCCAGGAATCGTCTCACAGAGCAAACAGTGACTGATTGTATTGCATTGCTATTGCATTGCACACAGGTAAATCCCAGTGCAGCCAACAGGATTTTTAAATGAGGGAAAGCTGGAAGGCAGAGTCCAGCATTTTACACTTCCTAAGTGACAAAGCTATCTCCAYTCTGAAGTTATTGATGTGTCAAGTAAGGATTATATTAGATATACAGAAAAGTCTTTTTTTTTTTATTGTCTTATCTGTTTGCTTTATATTTTTTTATTCTGACCCCTTTATCCCCAAGTCAGTTTAACACTGATGGAAGACACCCCAAGCCAAACTCGGAGTGTAAGGGAGGGGGCGACTGCGCATGTTTTGCCAGCACCAGAGCGCCCCGGAGGCCTGAGCGAAGCCATGCCGAGGACATTAGCGAGCGCTGGCTGCTAGCAGCACCCCTGCAGGATACATTACAAAGACATCCTCTGTTTTCTTTGTGCAAAATGTTCATGGGGTGATCAGATATTTTCCTTTTCCTCTTTTTCCTCAAGTCTAAGGGACTGTTTCACTTTAAAACCACAAGTAGGCCCATGCACAAAAAGAAAGTTCCCCAAATAGCACAAAGCAGTAAATCCAAATATATCCTGCCCTATCTACTGCAGCTGCACTTGCGGCTTTGGTTTCCAGCCTGCAGCCAATCTGCTTTCCTCCACCCCACTCGCAAAGCAGGAGAKAAATAGGGCAGCCCCCATGCCTGCGTGTCAGCACAGGGATGGCTGTCCTGGCATTGCTGCTTTGTCTGCGCTAAGATCATGCTGAAAACATACAGGCTTTTGGAGTCAAAACTGCAATTTTTTCCCATGCAGCCAAAGTTCTGCAAGGCTCAGAGGGCAGTGTGAAGTGACCTTGTCAAAACCCTGCTAAACGYGTCACTTGCTAGAGCCGCGCTGTTAGTGTTCAAGAGGAGCGGCCTTCCATAAAAGTGGCCTGCCAAGCGACAYGGCAGCAGGAGGCATGGAAAGCGCTCCGGGTTTCCCAGCTCGTCACAGGAACCCAACCAGATCCCGATGTTCAGCTCGGTTAGTTCCAGAGCAAGTAACCACATCCCTGTTGCAGGGCTGCRTTTGGGAACGCGATGCAGTCGGGGATCAGCTGAGCAGCAACACCTGGCTCTTGGGAAACGGGGACATGCCGTGTCTTGTGGATTTAAGCACAAGGCCGCTTGTGAGGACACCTTTGCGCAAAACACCCATCAGCAAGGCAGCACAAACTGAGACAAAAAAAAAAAAAAAAAAAAAAAGAAACGCACCCTTCCATTTACTTCGCCTCTCCACCAGCCGTTCGCGCTCATCTTCGTATAAATTTTGACGACGTCCCCTTTCAATAAGGACAGTTCCCTCATGTCTCTTGCACAGAAGTCGTACCTGGCTATGGCAATGCCTATTACCTTCGGGCTTAGCACTGAAATAAAACAGAAGTCGATGTTAATTAAGGTTTGCTAACTGAAGGCTACTACAATAACCTAAATAGCAATACTGTAAAAAACAGTGATTTCATGACAACATACACTGGCATCAACTTTATGCAAATGTGACAGCACCTGCGCTAATGAGGTCAAGCAGTTTTTTTCAGAGGTCAGTAGGTCAGTGCTGTATCAGCTGGATGGATTATATGGTTTTTGTTACAGTATTTTTTTTATTTTTAGAAAAAATACTCAAACTAGTTAAACCATAAAGAAAATATTCCCCTCTCCCAATTGCTAAATACAGGAGAAATTATTACACTTCTGTGCTTTATAATAAAGCTTGCTGCCAGGTACATACATCAACGTATTTTACAAGTCACTAGTTTCTTTCCAAGGAAATTAATCGCATTTACAGTTGATTTAGCCATAAACCTCTAATGAAGAAAAACAGATTAAGGTGCTGTTCTTTCAAAAACAACTCCCAAGTTAAGGATTAATCCACATCATACTGGAAGTTACCATCAGCATTAACCAAAAAAAAAAAAAAGCAAAGAGTTTCCACAGCAAATGTGTATAGATTCCTTGTTACAATTAACAAGCATTGCCTAATGTAATGCCACTCTTTTCAGGAGTTCATTCTGTAAATCAAACAAGCAAAATGACAACCACCAGATTTATCAAAAATCTTGCTACACAGATAAAAACCAGGACTTAAAGTACACAAGTTAGCTTCC